TAAACAATCATAAAACAACTAAACACCTTATAAGTCCTTAAAATACCTTCGGTATATATATTTATATACAACGAAATTGATAGACTGTCTTGGAATAATGCTTTAATGAGTAAATTGATTATTTTACATACTTAATATACAGTTATTTGACAGATAATCTGACTTACTGAATTAGTTGTTCAGAACTCTACCATAAAACAATAGGCGAACAAGATAAATTATACACTGAATATTATTAAAAAATGCTATATTTACTGGCACAACAGTTAAAAGAACAATCTTAACAGGCAGATCGTTGTCTCACTCTGAAATAATTGTCAGTTAACTAACCATTCTTTAGATGTTATATTACTACCACGATTATGTGATCTCATTTAATAGAACATGTTTGATCAAGAACTGACATTGTATCATGCATTGATTTTCAACACTTGGAGCAGATCTTAAGTTCTCGCTTTTCGGCAGCATACTAACTTTTCGAAAGCACTATTACATCATTAATATTAAAATTCATTAACTTATGCTGACAAGGCGTGCTGAGTAAGAGCATGTCACAAGCTAGAAAAACAAATGTCACGGTGATTTCGGCAGGACACAAAAAATACAGAAAGTAAAATATGACTTCATTAACGAAAGCAGAATACGGTTTATTTGTTTCTTTGTTTTGCTGTTAAGCGCGAAGCTATACAATAGGCTATCTGTGCTGTGCCCACCACGGGTATCTAAGCCCGATTTTTAGGAGTATATGCTTTCAGACTTACCGCTCAACTACTGGAGGTGGGCCAAGAATATGAAAAAAATACACTAAAATAAAAGTTGAATATGCATATTAATCTATTAAGTAATGATAAGACCGTTTTACTTCAAAACATAGTAAAACTAGCTTTTTTGTTTGTTTGTTAAGTAAAATGTTTCCAGATGAACTATCCGTGCTCTGACCACTGCTGGTATCGATACTCGGTTTTTAACATTATAAGTGCTCAGGCTCGCCGCTGATTTCTTTCAGCGCAAAGCTACACAAGGGCTATCTGCACTCCGTCTACTAAGAGGGAATTGATCCCTGGATTTCAGCGTCGTAAAGTCTGTAAACTTACAGCTGATCGCATAGAGGGACGCAAAATAAGATAAATAAATATATTAAAAAGCCAAAGAAAACTTTAAAATAAATGTTCATAAACCAAAACACGTAGAATATTGTCTTCACTTTGAACTGTTTAAATTGTAAATTCATAAACATACTGAATGTTCAAAATAATGTAACGTAAAAAAATGATGGATATAACATCAATGGCTTGGCATTTGATCAATCGTTCTTCACTATAAACACATAACGACCAATGAAAGCTTAGGATATCTAGCCTATAAATGGCCCTATGTTTTGAAATTATCCTACTCAAACATTTCTATTCGTATTGTTTATTTCCTCAATTGATTCATATTGATTTGAGTTAAAACCGTTCTCTGATGTACGTCAGTTTTGGAAAGTTAAAACGAAACCCATTCGTTGATTTTTAGATTTTAAACGTGAAAATTCTACTAGCCTAGTTATAGAATTGATGTCATTACTCATTTTTAGGTTAACAAAGTACCCCGTATTTTACAATCAGTAAAACAGATCGTTTAATAAAGTCTTTCCGGGTGTATAGGTTAGCTTCCTGCTTTCCTACGTCTTGTTGTCTGGAGCCTGAAGGCCATTTCAAAACTTTACAGCCTTATTGGTTGAAACTATAACTGTACTTGTCTGACGGACATATAACTAAAAGCGTCTAGCCACAGAAACCAGACACGCAGATAATTTCCGGGGATAGATAAATCACACCATTACACGTAGGCTTCATAATACAGAATACTGAGGAGAATGTTGTTTCAAGGATATTTTAGGCACTGTATACGTGGTAGAGATTTGGCTTTAATGGACTGCTTCTGCCTGTTTGGTGAGTGGGAGGACGTCTCTGCTCCTATACTTATGGCTTCAGTGTTCGAACCGTAACATCCCACTCAACAAACAGGCAGAAGCAGTCCATTAAAGACCAAATCTCTACTGATGAG